GTAACCCCCAAGATGTTCTGGATATAAATCCCTCTACTTTTTTGTTGATTTAGGCCTAGCCCATCACATACGCTGTTTCCTCATCTGCGGCTAGACTGAGGCTCTTACTATGACGGTCGCGAAAACGCCTTGTATAGCTTTCCTTCCAACCTTGTGTATCACTTGTATCACCTGTGTCCCGTTGATCATCGACTTCCTCGAGAGGGTGCCGTAACGTCTCCACTTGCCCCTGCCACGAGCCAGAATGGTCCAGTAAGTCGTTCTCGCTTCAGGGGCACGAGGTCCAACTTTCCTTCCGTTTAACGCTTTCGTGAAGAAGTCTGACCATCTCGTTATCGGCCGTCCTGGAGTTCGTTCAATGTCCCGAGGAATCCAGCCAGTAATCACCCTGGCCCAAGGGTCATCACTATATCGCATACACGTCCGTCCCACCTGATCTTCGATTTCTTGGTGTAATCAACGGCATCCCTGATCTTTGTTCGATGACGGAGTTCGAAACTCTGGATTTCCTTCAACACTTGCATGTATAGGAAAATTCCGAGCATCTTTCCTTCCCTAAGCGCGTTGAGCAACGCTGACAGCATGCCCATCCGACCTTCGTAGAGACCACATCTCTGAGGCGAACATCAAAGCAGAAAGGACAGCAGTGTCGAAAAGGTGAGCGCGGAGCCGAATATTCCATTTCTTTACTACTGCCTCGATATTCTTGGATGCTCCCCACGCGGCGCGTTTCCTGCACAGCTCTGGAGCAAGGTCGTTCATCATGTTGACTTTCCGTCTTAAATACACATAGCTAGAGCATTCGGAAATATTCGTTCCGTTCAACGTGAGGGGAGCATCAGGCACCAATCCTTCTTCATGAACATCGTCTTCGTTAAGTTCAGTGTCAAGCCAATCTTTCTACATATTAGCACTGTCAAACTCGGCCAACATTCGTTCCGCCTGCTCGATATTCTGTGTTACAAGCACGATGTCGCCTGCAAAGCGGAGGTGATGTTAATAGCGGCCATCGACCTTCACTCCCAAGTCTTCCCATTCTGGCGCATGACATTCTCGAGAGTGGCACTGAAAAGCCTGCCGGACAACGCTCATCATGTTGATGATGATTCCCTTGTAGAATGATGAAATCCTGGTCGTGAACTTGTAGAGCTCATGTAGTGGTTGTCCAGGGCTTTTATTACAGCTTCTGTCTTGACTGTATTAAAGACCCTCTTCAAATCGTTGAACGTAAGACATAACGGCATTTTGTACTCCCGCGATACTTCTGTGTCTTGTAACGGTGTGGATGTGATCGATTGTACCGAACCCTCTACGAAACCCTGCTTGCTTGCTCGCATCACTGCCATTCATCTAATATTCTGCCAGTCCTGTTCAGGATGACTCGTGTGATTTGTAGGTTACAGACAGCAGGCAAACTGGGCGATAATTGCCAATATCGTCTGGATCTCTCTTTTCATACAGCAGCACAGTCTTGCTGGTTTTCTATAACGTGGGCACTTTGCATTCCGACAGGTACCGTGTGAAGAGCCTAGCCAGAGTTATGACGATNATTTTGGAAGTTAGAACTGAAGTAACGATATATTTGTCTTGCGTAAGATGGTAGACAGGCAGGTAGACGTGGCTGTCGAAGAGATCCGAGTAGGAGTCGTAATGACCTTCTCCATTGCCCTTTGAGATGCAGTAACTGTTCCGTCAGGACGACGAACGGAAATCATCTTGGATTCGTAATTGGCGAAGCTCCGTCGTGCCTTGCGGATGATCTTTCCTGCCTCGACGGTAACTGCTGCTCTTCTCTCTTTTAGATCTTCCTTTATCGCTTCTCTGCATAGCTTCGCAAATTCGGACATTAGATGGTTATTGCCTGCAGCGCGCGCAATTCCACGTTTGTGTGTCAGCTCGAGAGTCTTTGAAGGGAGACATCTTTGGCTATTTGTAGACTTTCTGCTTCCCTGATACTATCGTGGAGATGTTTGACGAGCCGATCGTACTCTTCGTCGATGTTGTCGATAACGGAATCTTCCATTCACTCGCAAGGAAAGCGAAGTGGTCCCAGTTGATGGAAGTCTTGGGGCTTCGTTTTCTTAACTTTATAGCTCTCTCCCCATGCACTAAGAAGCGGAATCTAGCACAGCAGAAACGTGGTCCCGCATAGAACTTCGGAACACAGCTACGTCAGTCAGGCAAAATCTCCGATCGAAGATGATGTAGTCTATTTCAATATGGAACTGTCCACCAGGGGACTCTCATGTCCATGAGATTTTAGCATTCTCTCCCGAGCGGTGTTACCCAATGCTGCCTCGTGGAGGCTCTCAGGTTTGGGATGAAAACCATTTCTATTACTGGTTTTGGCAAGTGGATACCCAATGTGCAGCTTGCCAGGCTCTGACGTGGGGTGGGTTGGCTTGCCAGGCTATCGCAAAGTGAACGATAGGCTTTGTTCCTGGAGGCGGCCCCAAATCGCCTCCCAGATACTTCCCAGTCACTTGAACGCAAGCTTTTGGCTGAGTCGATGGGCAGGATACCAACTGCACTCACAGACTCACGTATGCATGGATACGCCTGCGAGAAACAGAAGATATGTTGACCAGCACAGCAAAATCAGGGAATCCATCCCTATATCCAGACGCGTCTCTGGGCAAGTACTGCGACTTTTGGTTGACGACTACTCCCCTATCCGTCACCTGGGGACGCCCTACGTAGCCTCGTCGCAAACCGGCTGGAATCCTTCAGTGAAAGGGAACCATCAGTGAAAGTAAATCCGTAGTCCAGCCTTATGAAGCACCGCTATTTGCAGATATACCACTGTGCTCTCTTAAATTCACCACCACAATGCTCACTCGAGTCTTTACAGCTGGCTTACCTTACAGCTAGCGGCCAGGTCACTCCCTAGGTATCAGAGCTCTCGTAATGTTTCGTATCTTATCTTGGACGATCGACGTTCGGCTCTGCCCATTTTTAAGCTACCGATTTTGGCCTTTTTCATGGTAGGCTAAATTCCATTATCCTTTGCAAGGTGCTCTCTTTCCTGTAGCTTGTCCTAAGTTGTTTCCCTAGTTTCTGCTATCACTGCGGTGTCATCGAAGCAGTAGATGATCTTGAGTGACCCACCTACTAGTCTCTTTGTCATGACATTCTGTGTAAGTATAACCTGCATCGCCTGTCGGCCCACTGATCATCATTTTTCGAGCGGGCGCTTGCTCCTTACGACTCTCAAACTCTTTTCTGCAGCTCTGTATGATGAGCCCTGATTCATCACCTTCTTCTGATATCTTATTTCTGATTTTTTTGATTCCTTCGGGCAACTCTATTATCGCAAAATGACTCTGGTGGAAACTACAATTATTGATTGACCAGCATACTTGGATGATGACTACTTCACGTCACACTTTTTTAGCTTAGGATTGAGATGATTTTTCGTTTCTCAAATGGCCCTAAGCCTACGCTTTTCACGCATTCACTTTATGCAAAGCCCTTATGCCCTTGAAGAGCTCTTAAAAGGGGTCATACATATTTGTTAGCTAATTCCCAGGTAGTAATTGTATCTGAGTGATTTACAACTGCTGGTAAAAATGTAGTTGGGGGTCCACCTATCACAATGTTAGTAATGTTAGTATGACAAGAAATGAAACGTGTTACGCCGTGTTACATTAAGGACTGCCAGTTTTCAATTAGGCTGTAAGGAAAAAGGACTCGCCGTAGACAGATTTTCCCTCTTTTCTGCACGAGTTAATCATTTCATCCACCCAGATGTTCCTACTCGCTGAGGCTTAGTTGAAAACTGCATTTCCTTGGCTAAAACCGCATAAAAGAGCACAGATGGTCGTGTTGTGGAAGTTCACGACAGGTAGGTCGTGAACTTTCACAACCTTTCTTCTCTGGTCGATAATGTCGATCGATAATGCATGTTTATGCTAACGACGAACGTTTTGAATGCATGGCATTTTCGCCTACCGTAGTTCTTGAGTCGTTGTAATGTTGCAACACGCCATAAGCTGTATTTAAGCTGAGGGGAAGATTTGTTGTTGCTTTTTTGAAACTGTTCGAGCTTGAAGAATAAACTCGTTCCACTGAACCCCTTTNCTAGACAGATCGGTTCCCATCATTCTCTTCGCATTTGATACACTGCAAATATAACAAGGATTATAACGTTATACTGAGTTCATTTCTTGATATACTAACCCATGGATGGGTGCCCCCCAACTACATTTTCGCCCAACTGCTCAATCTTAACTGAACAATTACGAGCTTGTTACTTTTTACACATGCCCACCTTTCTTTAGTGAGCAGCACTAGCACAACATATACATTCATCTATTCCACAAGCATCGTCAAAATGTCCTGTCAAGCTCGTCAGCATGCACAAGACAACATAAATCAGCCCTCTAGTGGGGTTCCAATAGCTTCTTTTTGAGATTCAGCTCTACATGCACACGTAATACATATCCACACATATATTAATTCAATTTAATTCTCCTTAGCGCAGTCTTAGAGACTATCTATGTCGACAAGTCCAGCGGCTACGGTTCCTTCAATTCCACAGTCATTAATTCCACGAATCATGCGGAAATATCCTGAAAAGATCAGATCATAAANTAGCTTCTTTTTGAGATTCAGCTCTACATGCACACGTAATACATATCCACATATATATTAATTCAATTTAATTCTCCTTAGTGCAGTCTTAGAGACTATATATGTCCACAAGTCCAGCGGCTACGGTTCCTTCAATTCCACAGTCATTAATTCCACGAATCATGCGGAAATATCCTGAAAAGATCAGATCATAAACGAGATCATACATATATGGACTTACTAAGCTTATGTAAGCAGCGCTATCCTTAACAGTGGCCTGATCTATGTGCTAAGGAAACTATAGCAACCAAACAAAGTACAGATTTACAAAAGCTTTGTCTTGGGAAACTCATCTTGTTCTCCCCAATCGTTGTGCTATGAGTTGGCAATGAGCCAATAGTCTGTAAAATTTTCCTTTCCCCATCCGATCATCTTCTCAGCATGGTATCCTCGTAGCGAATCAGCACTGTGCTGTAATCATCCGATCCTAATATTCTGTTTTTCCGGATCAATCTATGCAGATTATCTGAACCACTTCTGTATGTGTAAAAACTACATTTTCAATGAGCTCTGTTTGCGAAGCGAACTTGCCTTGGCAACCTCCTGCTTGCATATATTCACACTGGCAGCTCCGGCTTGATTCTAGAGTCTCACCTATAGATTCCCGAATGTAATGGCTAAAATCATCATGAACTGCGAACGTGGCAACAACCGGTCCATTCTTCAATATTTCAGTCTGAATGGCTTTGACTGACTGTTTTACCATATAAGCATCTTTACTTAAAAACTCGATTTTACAGAACATGGAGTGACTCAATTTTTTCTGGGGTTCCAGTGCTTGCCGTGAGCGCCATGACTACTTAATAGGTGGTGTAGGAACCTGCCAACAATAGGAAGTACTGATCAGCCCTGTTCCGAACATTCAAGTAAGCTCTCCGTCAGAGGTCTTCACTATTCGCTTGCACTATATCCTCGTGAAAATTGAAGGTCATATGGCAAAGATGAAGTGGGTTCAACGCATCATCATAGAAGACAGAGCTACAACTGACATATTTGCTGCAGGAACTTTTTCATTCAGCCTCGTGATGTGCTATCAGGGCAGGATCGACCTGTTCCCACATTCAGGACTAATAGCAACTTTATATTCACTTTTTGCTTTGGCTTTGCTCCAAGGTTTACTTCAAATGCTGCGTTGAATAATGTTGCTATTGGAGAGATCTTACTCTTACCGTAGCGCTTGTCTATTCTGTATAGTTTCCTAAGACCGGGCTGGCATCTCCTTGTACACAGCGGGGTTGGCGCCGTCCCACGGCATTCACCGTAGTAGGTGTCATCTCCATGATGTAAACGTGGATGAATCGGATAGGGACGGCAGACACCCTGTTGTCAGAACTAGAGAAACATTTAGCAAAATTATGTCGGTAAGAATATTTATCTCACATATTTTACATGCACTTTTTAAAGCTCTTGATTCTTCACATTAATTGTGATCTTTCGGGATTCAATGCCTTGAACTAGAACTCACGATACACACACTGGATACAAATATTTAATCATCAGTTACAACAAAAAACATCAAATCGAACAAGCCAACAGGAAATGTTGGTTAAACAGGGGAGTGGGCCCGTCGGCGAGGATCCTTTCATGAAATCGGACACACCTCTCATCCCGAGACGACGAAATGAGATCATTTAGTCAGTCTCAGGAAGCCATGCATCTCTTCTTTCACATTCCGGCTTGATGCGGTATATTTCTCGTGCCTCCATGATTTTCCTTTCTAAGAGCCTACCAAACGTCCATTCAAAACCCTCATACTAGAAGATGGGGCGTTTCTTTTCCTGGATTTGGGTGTACGGTACCTGAAAGATTTGCTGGGTGGATAGGCAGTGGGATTGACTAAGGTTCTTCTTTGTGCAGGCCAACTTGCAAGGGCTTTTGGTCTTTCTCGATTACAATTCTCTACGTTCTCCGCATTGAATCAAGTAGACGGTGCCTCGAAGATCGTAGATGTTTTCTGAAGAGAGTTTCAATTCAGGAGAGTTTTCTGGAGAGAGATTCACTTACAGTCATTCAAAGAGGTGACTGTAATACAGGTACCATGCCCTCTGGAAGACACGTTTTACTTGTGATTACTCACAAAATTCCGGCAACAGCAGATGCTTCATCCATCCCACTAAGTGAAAACAAGATGAGACTAAATGTCGCACCCTGGGGTGAAGACGGATTGATCTGGCTTTTGATCCATCTGGTTTTTCTTCTTTTGTGGCAGTCCGGGAGTCCCCAACGCGAGCTTGTATGATGTATTATCCTTATATACGAACGTAGATAGGGCAAGAGCAATGCAAGCTGTGTTATCTCTCACTAGGATTATAAAAAGCATATCATGATGACGGGATTCCCCACCGGCAAAGTTCAGGGCCCCATCGCAAGAGCACTGGTGAGGAACACTTTTCTGCTTCCGCAAAAGTTTTACAAGCAAGACAAGGCGTTGCCATAGGCAGTCGCATACATAGTAGTGTGTAGTAGAACGCATAGTAGAACACATGCGCATAGTCGCATGTGTTTGCAACTCATCTCTTTGATTACATCGAGCAGTCACCATTAACAGTGGAACGCTGTTCTACAAACCTTGCAATGATGGAGTGTTTATTACATTTATTACGGGAATAGTGGAAGAAGGCCTTGGGGGCCTTGTGAAAATAGTAAAGAGACGCTAATCTCACAATGCTAGCACAACATTTATCGAAGAAGTTCAAAGAGGGATGGATTCCTCCCATTCCTCAATGCAAAGATATGGATTATTGAAGGTCACAAGGAACACGTGTGCTAAAAAAAAGTATTTCGTCGAACATCTTGTTGTATACTGGAAGAGTACATCCTAGTTATATGAAGGCAGACGTCGAAAGGAATCTGTCCAAAATAAGAGCTAAGCTTGGGACACGAAGGGATTCAGTTGTTGAGGCCAAAGTATTCTCAAACACATTCTCGGAAGGCAAGAGTAAGTGCTGGGCCCAACGTCTCACGGTGTGGGACTCATTGTGCCTTTTGTTGATGTCAAAATGACACATGTGGTGAACCCTGTCGAGAAAACTTTCCCAAATCGATCTCGAATCTACGGAAAACGGTGCTTAAACGAAAACTGGTCGATACTGTGCTTCTGAGATCTGCAATTTCCAAGGCACTGTGTTATCTTATTCAACACGGAAGATGTCGTGAAAAATATTTGGGGGAAACCGCTAGACCATTGATGTCCTCCCTAGGCACGCAGCAGTTTTTCCAGCTTCGTGCTTTCAGCCAAGGAAACGCTCCGTCATTTAATGGGGGAGGGGAGGGGGAGGGAGGGTTTGCGGGGGATTTGCATGGACATTTGGTACGGCTTCTGAAAGTCATGGAATCACGAGAGATGTAGAGCCGCATCCTCTCGTTTGCATCAATCCGAGATCAATGCAAACGATAGGATGCGCAACCTTCTGAGGGCTGATCAAATGATGACATTTCGTCGCCTAAGAGAAAGAACGCTGTTCTTTTTCCTTCCATGTTCCTCGCCGACAGGTCCTCACCCTCTTCTCCCGAAATTTCCAGTTATCTTTGTGTGATTTGATGTGTTTTTCAACGTAACTGCGAATCAACCTAATGTATGCAGCTACGTATTGCAAATGGTATGACGAGTGCATTATATGTCGAAGGATCATTATCAGAAGTGAAAGGTTAAAGGTTCTGAAAAGTACAAACCAACTGCGAAGATAACAAGTACGAATGAAGCTTAGACATGGCAATATTTCAAAATGTCTCACTTTTGTAAGGTATTCTCCTCCAGAAACAACTCCGTCATATATAAAGTATTCCCAAGCTCTAATAGACCAGCCTGCATGGCACTTTAATCACCAAATAGTTCGGATGAAAAGTGACCTATACTAATTCTCGTGCTCTCTCATAAAGTGAACATCATAGAATATTACCCTCTACCGCACTGTGGAGAGCAGCTTGTCAATATGTCTGTGGTGGACATGTTTACCTAAATATTGCCTCTGGAAGTCAACGATTACTCGCAATATCACAGCTTAGCTTGCACCTGTTTCTCAGCTTTGGTAGCGATGCAAATACGATCCGAAATAGCAGATGCGGTAGACACAGCCCAACATGACCCTAAAAATCCAATTTATGATATTTTTCTTCAGGTCAGAGGCACATTTTTAGGAATGACCCTACCGCAATTCGCCTGGACACGGATATAGAACGTAGTGCAGTTGGTCCAGATAGTGCGAGGATCGTATCTGTAAATAATCTCGATTTAGTCTTGCTGTGGTGGGTATGGTGAATAGATGTGTTTAATCTGCTTCTCAACAACCAGTTACACCATGCTTGAAAATTCTGTTTTCTTCTCAGTAGTGAATACTGCATAACACATTATAAGCATAAAAAAACGAGTATTTTTTGCTGTTTCGTTCAGAGAGCAAAGTAGTTCTGGGGGAGATGAGCTCGTATCATTTGTCGTCCAGTTGGTCGTCGATTTCCTTGAACGAGTGGAAGTATTCATTTGTCCTCTTCTAATCGAATAGATCCTCCTCGCTCGAAAAGCTCGAGCATTGTTCCTGTTCCAAGCTCGTGAAAGAGTGTGGCCATCGCGTTGGCAGCCGTCGTGGCTTTCGCTTAACCTATTGAGAATTCAATAATTTCCCAACAGTGACAGGCCCACCTTATATTGGATTCCTGGGCATGAGGAGAGGCATCACTAATCACCATTCTTCAATCGCCGGAGCTTGAAGCTCCGGATCATTCTCTGCCTCCCAGGCCGGCGCTTGAAAACTCATGAGACTGACTGCATTACCAATGCTTCCGTAGAGTCTAAGTTTCCGGGGGCATGCCAAAGCCCGAAGGACCGAGTGTCGAATGGAAAAGCGCGGACGTGGATGTTCCTTGTGTTCTTCACAACGACCTCGATAATTTAGGGCATCACTCCCGAATGTAAGTTTGGGTGGTTCTCCTGAATTCACAACTCTTCACTCACCTATTTGTTCATAAACCTACAATCGTTCAAGTAAGCTAAAATTACAACTACATTACATAAGAACACGTTTGATACTGGGAATTTGAGTTGGAGGCCTGCACTTAAGTTCGTTGTTGAAAGGCTTTGAGCTGTAATCTCGCAGTGACAACGTCTTAGGCGAGTCCGCGTGTTCACCTGAATCCTTTGCCGTAGTGAAACAGAGCATTCTGCCTTCCCAAGCCGAGAGGCTAAGATTTTCCGACGTAACAGTCTGACTGCTGAGCTGGAAAGTAATCGCCGCCACCGTGCTAAAGCGAGCGGCTTGCGCCTCCTGAGCGCAGATTCAACTGAAATATCGACGCCGCCTTCTTACTATCCTCNTCCTCCAAGAGCGGGGCTCAAGTGATCTCATTAACGAAGGTTCATGACAGTCGATGCCCTTAAATAACCAGCTTCAGCCGAAAAAATGTGTCGAAAAAGAGGTCGAAAATGTCTCTTCTAGTGTCTGTCTAATCATTGGGGCAGAATAGGCACGTAGTAATTAGTATCGAAAGCAAAGTTCCGTTCTAATTTTTTGGAACTCGAAAGGCGTTGCTGCTCTTTGAGGTAAAGAATGTCGGTGAAAATTATGCAAAGCAGAAGATCACTCACTCTCTGGGATATCAACTTCAGGTTCGGGATCGCCTCGACACTCGACACTCTTTTTGGGCGCGAGAGGGTCCTTTATACTCCCCTTGGGGGCCGCTGAGTATTCCTAAGGGCATACTCAGTGACTACTTTTATCGTGATCGTCGTCTACATCGTTTATCGTCTTTTACCTAAAAGCTGTTTTCACGGTAGGATTTTTCGTTTAGGAGCCCATCGCAGACAACTTTTCTTCCGCACTCCTTCTCGGTCAGGTTTTTCGTAAGACTGTCTTCCACAAACTTCATTCCCTGATATCCTGAGCAGCCCTACGTCAAGCTTCCGCCTACCGATAGAGAACTTTACCGACAAGCTCCTTCTAGACCTTTAATTCTCTTTTGGACAGTATCCATATTCGTATTCTTTGCTCTCACTATCGCGACATTGGACCCTCTTGCAATTTCTGTAGGCAGCTAGATCTTCCGGAGCTCGCGTTTTTCTACGCTTCTTGCTTCTCCTTTTCCTTACTCTGAGATCTTACCTCTGGCTAATCTGTGCGTCTTCGTCGGGCAACTTTATTGGCGCAAAAAGAATGAGAGTTACGTTACTTGTAGTTGGTTAGCTTGCTTGTATGATGATTACTGCCCATCATCTTATAATGTTTATAATCGGAATAATTTATCTCTCTGCAAACGGTCCGATGCCTATGCTTATTCCTCTTTCATTCTACATACGCAGTACGGCTACCTCCTCAAGTAACTAAGTTGCAACAAAGTGTAGATTCAGAGAAATATTGAGGAGGCACTCCACATACTTGAGAGCTGATTCTCAGGATATGAGCGAATTCTCATTTAGCGCTTTTCCTTCGCTTCATTCGCGTTTTATCACTGCTCGATCTGCAGTGAACGAGTACGCCTCTCTCACTGCAATGCTATNACACATGCTCAATTTTTTTGGTGACCATGTGAATACATATACTCATGGACAGCAACAAAATTTCCAACTAATTTTGGTCGACACAAACAATAAAACAGATCTCAGCCTCCTCCGGAGAGGATGCGAAGGTTCCTTATGAGATTTAATTCTGCATGCACATATAATAAGTATATTTATCCGGTTTGCTTCAGCTTGGCGCAAGTCTAGAGACTTTCTATATCGATATGTCCTGCGGTTACGACTCCTTCAATTCCACAGTGGTTAATTCCACGGATCATGCGGAAGTATCCTGTAAAGTGTTTATTGATTTTATTATTGGTTTACCTCACTTAAAAAGGTACAAAAGCAACGCGTATCCGTTGGTTTTGCGACTATGTGACATGCGCTTTCTGTTAGCAGCATTATTCTAAGCATTAGCCCTTGTGTGTTGCCCAAGTAAGCCGTAGCAACCGAAGCATAATAAAGATTTACAAACGCAGTTATTCTGGGAGACTCACCTTTTTCTCCCCAATCGTTGTGCCAAGAGTTGGCGATGAGCCAGTAGTCTGTTCCATTTTCACTTCCCCATCCGATCATCTTTACTGTATGGTAACCTCTTCGCCGACCAGCGATGTGCTGTAATCATCCTTTCTGACTTTCCTATCTCCTTTTGCACTGATTGCTTTTTGTATGTACATAGTCTGTATCATTAGTGAGCCCTATTCGCCAAGGAAATTTGCAATGGAAATCCCTCGTTTGCAAAGCAAATATCCGCCGTGGCAGCTCGAGTTTTATTTAAGAGTCTAACCCTATAGATTCCTGATTTGTAATGGCTGAAATCTTCGTAGGCGACAAACGAGGCTACAACCGGTCCATTCTTCAGTATTTCATTCTGGATGGCTTTTACCGACTCTTTTACGAAGTAGGCGTCCCTTCCTGAAAACCGACCTGTACAAAACTTGAAGAGATCTGTTGAGGCGCTTAGTAAAATGAGACGGCAAACCACTTATTAGTGGTGATAAACACCGCATCGCCCAAAGAAGACTAGGCAATGGATTGAGTTTTTCTCAAGGGCAAACACTGCGAGATTTCTTTTTCCTGTTTACTTGAGCTTAACATCCTACTTTATATAATTCGCTAAGTGTGTCTGTTGGTGTGTCGGTGTGTGTGTCTGACCGGAAATTCATAACTCCTGTTCCCGTGGACCTAAAAGCTCAAATGTGGCAGGAGTACAGGGGCAGCATGGGAGCACTAGTCCTGCACCGAGATTGTCTTCAAATCAGCATTTGCTAATTTTGCTATCCGAGAAATCCTACGCTTACCGTATCGCTTTTCGATCGTGTATTGTTTTCTATGGCCAGGCTGGCATTTCTTTGTGCAAAGTGGAGTTGGCGCCTGTCCAGAACATTCTCCGTAGTAGGTATCGTTTCCGTGTTGTCCACATGGATGAATCGGGTAAGGACGACAGACACCCTGGTATTAAAATCAATGAAACACCTAGTTAAATTATGTCGATAAATGTGATTATCTTACTTTTGTAAGGTACTCTCCCCCAGAAACAACTCCTTCATATATGAAGTATTCCCAAGCCTTCAAAGACCAGCCTCCTTCACACCTTAATCAGTAAAACATTCGGATGAAAAGGGCTCATACTCTTCCCATGAGGTAAATATCGTGAATTTTACCCTCCACCGCACTTTGGAGTGGGGCAGCATGCCAAAATGTCAGTGGCAGAAATGTTCACCTAAATGTTTCTCTCTCATAAGGACAATTGCTTACAATATTAATAATTAGCCCGCACCTGTTTCTCAGCTTTGGTAGCGATGCAAATACGATCCGAAATTGCAGCTGCTGTAGACACAGCCCAGTTTGAGGCTGAAAACCTAGTTCATTCTACATTTCTTGGAATCATGAGCACCTTTCGAGTTTGAGCTTACCGCAATTGGCTTGGTCGCGGATATAGAAGGTAGTGCAATTGGCCCAGATAATTCGAGGATCGTAGCTGCAAATCCAGTCTCCTTGACTTTGCTTTTGTGGGAATAGTGAAGAGATGTATTCATTCTGCTCCTCGACAACTACATTAGATTAGGCCTATGAGCTTTTGCTTCTTAGTGGGCGTATTCTTTCGTTTATTGGTGAACGTAGGTTTACCAAGGCTTCGAGATATGTAAGGGCTCTAGAGCCCTACATATCTCGAAGCCTGGGTAAATCTACGGTTAGAGATATAGAGAGAGATATCGAGCCAATAAAATGAACCAATCTCAAAATGTATCTATCCCCGATCTTTCATTGAAATAGTACATTGTAGCCAAAATCGGTTGCATTTTGCTTTCAGTGAAGCTCGAAGCCGAAAAAAATGGAGCCAACGGTGGCGTGCAGCTAGTACAAACGAGATGTCCCGGCTTTCTGCGATGCATTTTCGAGATTATTTCGATTCCTGATTGGGCTAGCGCATGCTTCTACTTCCAAGATTAACCATACTAAGAGATTCATGGGATTCAGACCAGGGCTCCAATGTGGCCACTGATCATGAAGTCGGGCGACTCGTTTTACGCAATTTTCGGACAATTACTGATCTGTGGTCAGGAGCTTTATTCTGACAATATGTCCGGTTCGAATTCGTCAAAGTATCCTATTGCGTATGGCGAGATCAAAAAGGTTTGTAAATACACTTTTACTCCTTAATTTATAAAATTAGTCGGTGTCTTCGCCTCAGCGGTGATGTTCGCAAAGACTACCACAGGAAGATAGTGAGCCTAGCGCTGTAACAATTCCATTTATTTCAGCTTCATATAAATCTTGTCGCTCTGCTTAGTGAGCACCTTTTTCAACATTTTCAATATCTTTTCGTCAGTGAAAAGGCATTCTCTTTGACGATTTCTTTGAAAAAGGAGGAGCAGCTTTTGTGAGTCAACCTTCCTCTTCTTCTCAGTCTGCTGACTCGGAAAACCACTTCCTGATCGTATGAGGGCCTTGTTGCGCAGATCCTTTTCCACGACTTTGCGCAGAAAAATTTATGAGATATCCCTTCAGCCATTTTGTGTGCAGAGGGATTCGCTGCTAGAATGTTAAAGAAGATTCTCCCGAAATGATGGCCAGGAAATTGATGACCGACTGAACGACTGAGTAAACAGGTAGAACCGACACGCATTCTGCTAGAAACAACTTTGCTTCTCTGAACGCCAAAAATACTCAGTCTTCGAAGATGTACCGAAATCATGATGGCATTGTCTGCAGGTGCTTATGACCAATTTTTCGAGCTCATAAGATTTCATTCGGTTCCCTGCACTTTATACGGTAGATTGCATAGTTCATCTACTGATAACACTAAACACCTAGCAGACTTCAACAATGATAGAAACGCCGCTACATCGTAGATCTATCATCACTTAGCATTTGGAATTACCTACAGACGACAGAGGACACAGAGGACATCAGTGCATGTTACAAATTGTATATTTAACCAACAGTCGCTTTGGGAAGTTGGGGACGATTGCATATTGGAGAAGTAGACATAAGAGGTCTGTGGTTGGATACTTAGGAGAAGTGTTGAAACAGGGCAAACGTCTCCATAGCAGTAAAGCTTTCTTTACGCGCAAAATGGCTGGAGGAATGGATGTCTCATAGAATTTTCTTCGTCTTTCTACAAAGTCATGGAGGATCGTTCACACAACAGCTTTTGTATGATCAAAAGCACGTTCTCGAGTGGAAGCGGAAGACAGATTCCCCTATCAACGTACTTGGTTATAAGAGACTAATGACGAACGCTTTTTGGAATTGTTTCGTTTTATGAGTTTGGCATCCGATTCGGAGGATGTACAGGGTGGGACAGAATTATGATCGTAGTGCACGCAGACGCTCATACCTATTTTTCAGTGTTTACAGTTTTTCATTCGGTTTCCTGCATTTCGCAAGGTAGATTACATTATTTCC